TTTTTCTTTTGCATCATTGTAACTTTCATCCGGGTTGGAGGTGTGTTTCTATGTCGTAACCAAGATACACACATTTTATAATTGAATCTTGAGATTTCGGTTTATTTTTTTTTTTTTTTTTTTTTTTTGTGGTAGCGGGGACCAAACTACAGGAACTTGCACTTGCCAGGCAGGCACTTGTGCCGCTCAGCTATATCCCCGACCAGGTTCTTTTTGTTTGTTCATTGGCTTTATTTATTTTTATTTTTTTCTCGCAAACAGTCGTACTGCATTGCCCAAGCGGATCTCCCGCTCAGCTGAAGGGATTCTCAAGCCTCAGTTTCTACAGTAGCTGGGACTGCACCCATGGGTCAATGGTTGCATCCAGCGGACTTAAAAATCTGAGGAGACAAAAATTTGTATTTTGAAACTATTTCCATTGCATTTGCAGCGCCTGATTAATCTCGCTGAGCTGACCCCATACATCTTATGTTCCATTTGCAAAGGTTATCTAATAGATGCAACAACCATTACTGAATGCCTTCATACCTGTAAGTAGATGGTTTATACTTCTGAATGAAATTTTCAATTTTTGAAATGTCTTTAAGGCACCCTAATTAACATTTTTTTCAACAGTTTGTAAAAGCTGCATTGTAAGACATTTTTACTACAGCAACAGATGTCCAAAATGCAACATAGTAGTACATCAGACACAGCCGCTATATAACATAAGGTAAGAAGAATACACAAGTAGCAATCATTTTAAGTATAGTTTTTCTGAAAACTTGTTGTTGTATTTGTATAGTTAGGAATAAATTCTTTTTTTTTTTTTTTTTTTTTTTTGGCGGAACCAGGGATTGAACTCAGACCCTTGTGCTTGCCAGGCAAGCGCTTATTCCACTGAGCCATCTCCCCAGCCCCAGGAATAAATTCTTGATGTCCTTCAAAGTTAGAAGAAAACTACAGTCTTCTTCTTTGTTTTTGTTTTTGTTTTTTGGTGGAACCAGGGATTGAACTCAGGCCCTTGTGCTTATTCTACTGAGCTATCTCCCTGGCCCCTACGTATTTTAAGAAATGCATGTAGAGCACTTGCTGTGTACCAGGCACTGTGGTATCTGGTGGAAATTTAAAAAGGAAGAAAAACCTCTTTTTGGGGGGATTTTAATCCTAGCACACATGTTCATTCACTTGTTTGGGCTTGCTATTTATAATATATAGTATTTGGAAGTTTTAGAAATTATATCTAAACCACTGGCTTCTTTAGTAAAGCCTGCCATGCATATATCATTGTGTATTGTTAAGTTTTCAGTTCATGCTCTTTCCTAAGAAAAATACTAAAAGTAGATTACTTTCATTCATTCAGCAAATTCTATAAAGTTTTTAATCACCTTTATAAAAGAGTGCCTTGGGCCAGGGAGACAGCTCAGTGGCATAAGTGCCTGACTGGCATGCGTGCACAAGGTCCTGAGTTTGATTCTCCAGTACTACAAAAAAAAAAAAAAAAAAAAGAGTGCCTTGTAGGGGTGATACACAAGTTAAAAATGGGGAGTGGGGATGTAGCTTAGTGATGGAGTACTTGCCTAACATGTGCAGGGCTCTAGTTTCCATCTCTGTTAATGGAATAAGATGAGTACATAAGGAACATTTAGTGAACTGTTCTTCAAGAATCTTTGGGTACTTGTGGTTGTGTATCTCAGGTATAACTGCTGAGTTATATCTCAGAGCTGTGAATGCTACCTAAAAGTAACAACTCTGAGAAAGGAGATATCCTCTCCCAAAGGAAAATATGTTAACTTATTCTGAGGTATTCTCCATCCTTTTCTTTTATTAGGTTGGATCGACAGTTACAAGACATAGTATACAAATTAGTGATTGATCTAGAGGAAAGTAAGTTTCTTTTATTACATAGTTGTAAATCCCAGCATCTCTGATACTGATAGTTACATTTTAAGTGTAATTTAGTCTATTTTATCATTTTTAGGAGAAAAAAAGCAAATGCATGATTTCTATAAAGAAAGAGGTCTGGAAGTACCTAAACCTGGTAAGTTTGGGTGTGTACTATAATGTACTTATAGATTAATACTAATAAAATTTATGTCCTGCGAAATTCCTTTTGGCAACAGCTATATGATCAAAGAGAAAAATATCTTGAAGGTAACATTGCAGTGTAACCCAGTTTGATTGTTTTTAAGAATTAAGGGATATTCACTACTATTATAGACTACTGGAGTATATTGGATTACTTTGCTGAATTCATGCACCTACAATATATGAATGCCAATGGAATACCTATCTCTGATAAAAGTAAACAAAAAGGGGAATATAAATGAAGGACCATTTTTGTAATGAAAAAAAATATATATATATATATCTGTATGTACAAAATAGCATAGATATGCAGCTACTTTCTCTTAGTTCAGTGAGAAGAAAGTTTTGAACTAGTGTTCAGACAAAATGTCATGTCTGCATTTTGTACTATAAATAACTACATTAAGATAATATGGCAGGCTGGGGAGATGGCTCAGTGGAATAAGTGCTTTCCTGGCAAGCGCAAGGGCCTGAGTTCAATCCCCGGTTCCGCAAAAAAAAAAAAAGATAATATGCAATGTATTAATTATTGTAACTGTCCCACTAACCTGTCTTGAAACTGTCTCATTGCTGCTGCTTTTTCAATAAAATTAACATTAAAAAAAAAAATTAGGGCCAGACAAATAGCTCAATGTATTAAAGCACCTGCATGCATGTGCAGGGGCTGGCGGTTCAATCCCCTGGGCCTGCTATGCCAGCCCCTCCGCCAGGCAATTGAGACTGGGCGGGGTGGTGCACGCCTATAACCCAGCACCTGGGAGGCAGTAAACAGGAGGATCACTACGAGTCTGATCTAGTAGTGAGACCCTGAACACCCTGTAGATCTTTCCCTAAAAATAAAAAAAAATAAAATAAATGAAAATTAAAAATTAAAATCACGTCTACAAAAAAAAAGAATTAAGGGGAATCTATAAGCTTAAGGGAAAAAAAAAAAAAAAAACCCTTAAGGGAGTTGACCTTTTGAGTTTGTTCTTAGCATTGCCACCTTACTGGATGACTTTTAGAAAATTATTTTAGTATTCTTTTGCTGATCCTTAAAATGCCAGTAATAATGACACTTCATAAAAATACTTTGAGCCAGGGATATAGCTTAGTGGCACAAGTACTTGCCTGGCAAGCGGAAGGTCCTGAGTTCAATTCCTGAACCAAAAAAATAAAAATAACAATACTTTAGTGCAAGTACTTAAAGCAGTGCCTGGCACATAGTAACTGCCCAGACGTTATTGTTCATGATGCTAGTAATGTCACAGCATACAAATCTGATAGATTTGGGTTTAAATCTTTATTCTCCCACTACATAGTAACCCTAGGCAAGTTATCTAATCTGCTGAACCTCAGTTTATTTTTTAAAAAAGTAGCAGTAATACATTTATTATAGGAATTTTTTTTTTATGAGCAGAATATATTTATTGAGAGAAAGCTGTCCAAGAGAGGGACAGGAGGGGGGCCCCAGCAGGTAGTTCCCCAGGAAGCTGTCTCTTCCAGGGACTTTTATAGTGTAAAACCATGTGAGGCTAAGGTAGAGAGAATGGGAACTCGCTTAGGTGGGCAGGAGGTGGGACAAAACTATGGTCAACCAATGGGATTACATATGGGACAGGGTCTTTTCCTGTGGGATAGGGTCTCTTTCTGTTGGGGGTTGTATTATAGGATTTTAGTAAGAAGCAGGCTAGGGAGATAGCTTGTCTGTCTAAGCACCTGCCTGACAAGTGCAGGGACTGGGGTTCAATCCCCAACACCACAAACGGCACCAGCCCTGCCCCCGCCCCCAGGCACACTGAGCCAGCCACCAAGGCTGGGTGTGGCAGCACACATCTGTAATCCCACAGCTGGGAGGCTGAGAGAAGAAGATCATTACAAGTCTGAGCTTCATAGCAAGACCATGTACCAAATAAATAAGCAAACACACATAAATGATTTTTAAAAAAAGAATTAAGTGAGCAGGGGCATGGTGGTACACGCCTGATATCCCAGCACTTGGGAGACTGAGCCAGGCTTATTATTCCAAGTTCAGAACCACTTTAAAGGGGCCAGGGAGATGGCTCAGTGTAATAAGCACTTCCCTGGCAAGTGCAAGGGCCTGAGTTCAATCCCCAGTTCCACCAAAAAAAAAAAAAAAAAAAACAAAACACTTTAAACTTCACAGTGAAATCCTGTCTCAAAACAAAAAGAATTAAATGATATGTATGGAGTGCTAAGCATGAGCCCTGAGATATAATTAGCAGTGTTTATAAAGCATTATCTATAAATATTCTTGGTGTTTTGATGAGCGCTCTAATAAACTGGTCTCACATGTCTGCCTTACATTGTTCAGTGGCCCCTGATCTTGTCACTAATGTCACTGCCTTTGAAAGATGAGCTGTTGTTATTAATGAAAGGGAGATTAAGTGCTGGTGAACTTTTCCTCTTATCTTTTTTATTTTTAAGATAGGATTTCACTGTGTGATTCAGGCTAGTGTTGAACTCACTCTGTAGCTCAGGGTAGCCTGGAACTCACAGCAATCTTCCTGCCTCAGCCTCCCAAGTGCTAGGATTACAGGCATGCGCCACCATGCTTAGTGTACTGCTGGTGAACTTTTGTTAACGTGTAAAACTTGTGTAATTATTTTTTCAAAAACCTCAGGTTATGAAATGTTTATCCTAAATCAACTTTTTTGTTTGCTCTAAAATAGCTATGCCCCAGACTGCCCCTTCAAGCAAAGGAAGAAGTAAGAAAGTTCTAGAATCAGTGTTTCGTATTCCACCTGAACTTGATATGTCTTTATTACTGGAATTCATTGGGTGAGTACCCTAAAAAAATCTACTTTTTACCTTGAACATAAATTTTTTCAATGTAGTTGAGGCTAATCTTGAATTCCATGTGTAGCCTGGCTGGCTTCAAACTTAAGGGGGTCCTCGTGTCCCAGCCTCCCAAGCGCTGAGAATATAGGCATGTGCCATCACACCTGGCCATAAAGATTTTTTTTGGTGCTGGGGAATCAGACTCGTGACCTTGCGCTTGCCAGGCAGGCACCCATAAGGAATTTTTTTTTTTTGCGGAACTGGGGATTGGACTCAGGCCCTGCGCTCGCCAGGGAAGCGCTTGTCCCACGGAGCCACCTCCCGGCCTTCATAAAGAATCTTTTAAGTCACAACAATTCTAAAGTTATCCTGAACTTAGTTAAAATCAATTTTTTCTCTGATATCCTTTTAAAAATTAATTATGGAATACTTATTATTTAGAAAAATGTGAAGAGCACAATAACTACTGGTATCTTTTTATCTGGATTAAGACATACATCATTACTAGTTAGGCATGGTGCCGTACACCTGTAAACCCAGCTACTTGGAAAATTGAGGCAATTCAGTAAGATCTTGTCTCAAAATAAAAGTGAAAAGGTCTATTTTCTGATTTTGACCCCCAGTACCATAGAAATGAAGAAAGGACGAGATGGAGGATTATTAAGGTAGCAGAAGTCTTTTATTACCTCTTTTGTTCATTCTCCTTAGAGGTTAATAACCACTCTTGTTTTTCCTTTTAAAAAATTATTGGTATGAAAAAAAATAAAATAAAAATAAAAAATTATTGGTATGTTTTAGATATGTAAGGATAATATTCATCATAGGGAATTCATACATGATCTTTCTTTTTTCCCACCCATCCCCCACTTCAGCCCCTCTTCCCCTCATTTGTAAAAGCTTTGTTTCCATTTTTTCCTTTTCTTTTTCTTGCCTCTTCTTTCCTTTTCCCCTTCTCCTTCCCTTGTTCCCCTTCTCAGTTAAATATTTTCTATTTCCCACACTAACCACTCTTTTTCTTTCTTTTCTTTTTTTTTGTACCAGGGATGAAACTTGGGGCCTTGCACTTGCCAGGCAGCCGCTTATTCCACTGGCCTATATCCCCAGCCTGATAACCATTCTGATAACCATTTTTTTTTAATTAAAAAAAGACTTTGAGGGCAAGAGGATGCAAATACAAAAATCAGAGCTCATGTAGCATTTAATGAACCTTCCACTCTCTGTCCAGTGACGGCTGGATATTACTTGTACGTTTTCTAAGGGTCCTGATCTGCTCATGACATCTTTATATAAGGGGCAACCGAGGGGCAGATTCCTTAAGTGGCCCTTTGGGAGAACTCTCTTCAGGGCAGGAATAAATGTTCACGTGGCCTACTTCTTTCCCTGCTGCTGCTTCATGTGTGCTGCAAAGTAACCTTATTGCATGCACTCAATGGCAGGCCTGCAGTTAGGGAAGAAGTTCTTGAAGCCCTCTTTGCCCCCCTCGGCTGGTCCAGGTACTTCACGATTTTGTCCATTTTCCAAAAACCCAGGGAACTCCTTTTCCATGAGTGCTCTCAGGTCCTCCTTTGTTAAGTAGCTTTTGTCCCCAGAAAATTTGTGAAACGTAAACATCATGGTTTCCATGGCGGGTTCCATGTGGGAAGGCATCTTGGTGAGGTCTGTTGAAACTTCAGTGTTGAGGCGCAGCAGACACAGGCGGGCAGGCTGATAAGCATTCTTAAAACTGGTATCTTTCAGGTGGGTGTGGTGGAGCACGCTATAATCCCAACACTTGGGGGACTGAGGCAGAGGGTCAACTCAAGTTCAGGGCCAGCCTAGACTACATAGTGGGCTCATAATGAACTATCTAGTGAGACTTTTCCTCAGAAAACAACTGAGTATGTCATAATTTATCTTGTTTTTGCACTGTATTAAACATTTTGGTTATTTCTAGGTTTTTGTTTTTTGTTTTGCTATTATAGTGTTGCTATTAACATTTTTGCATATTCTTGTGTGTATGTGACATTCTCTAAGGTTACAGATTTGTTGAGTTTTAGATCATACTCCTTTTCAACTTTATTTGATTTTGTAAAATTATTTTCCAAAGTTGTTAGATATCTAATTGAAGTAATCACTTCCTTGTAACACTGTAGTACATAGTACGTTCCTTTATAGTGCAACATTGTGAAGCAGACTGTCATGGTCGCGGTTGGCCTGTATCAAAATGTGATTTTAGATACTGTACTGTTAACTCACAGAATAAAATGCTTTTTTAGAAGAAATATCTGTATTTCCCATTTTGTATCAGTGATGACTATTATTTCTCTGTCACTTCTTAAAACTCCAGGCCACTTAGGTCATTTATTTAGTGTCTAGTTTGTATCTTGTCTTGTTTCTCGTCTGTATTCTCTATTTAGAATAGTAAGAACTGTAAGCGGCTGGAACCTTTCTAATGCCTCCACAAAAACCATATGATAGAGGTTGATGATAATGGAATAAAGCTCTTTTTGGAGGGATTAGAAGAGCTAACAGTTTGTTTGAGACGGGGTCTTGCCATGTCCCTCAGGTTGGCTGCCAACCCCCAGCGGTCCTCCTCTAGCCTCCTGAATGCTGGTGTTACAGGTGTGTGCCATCACAGCTGGAAACAACTGCAAAATCTAATCCAGCAGTTGCTGTTGTTAGAGTGTGTTCCCACCTCAGTGTCCTGAAAAGAAGTAGCTAAATGACTTTGTATATCCATGTGTGAATGTGTACTAATATAATAATGTATATACTGATGTGGAACAGTCCTCAAGGTGGATTAAATGGCAAGGCAAGGTGCAGAAGGCCAAGACACCCTGAATATGCACTGTTGAGGTGGCGGGAGATACACACAGCGCACTTGTGAGGGTGTGCTAGTGGCTGGCCGGCCCGGGCCTCGTGTGCTCTGCAGGCGCTACCGCTGAGCAGCACCCATAGGCTTTTAAAACTGTTTTTTTAATTTTTAAGATAGGATCTGGCTGTGTTGTCCAGGCTGGCCTCCAGCTTGTCGTGCTCTTGCCCCATCCTCCCTTTGAGTAGCTGGGGTTACAGCTACACGAGGCATGTGCCATGGCTCCTGGCTGGCTTAAGTTTTTTTTTTTTTTTAACGGAACCAGGGATTGAACTCAGGCCCTTGCGGTTGCCAGGGAAGCGCTTATTCCTCTGAGCCATCTCCCCGGCCCCATTTTTTTCCTTTTCGAGACAAGGTTGCACTGTGTAGTTCAGGCTGGCTTTGAACTCACTGTGTAGCCAAGGCTGACCTCAAACTCAAAGTGATCTTCCTGCCTCAGCTTCTCAAGTGCTGGGATCATCTGTGTGCACTGCCACACCTGGCATAACTTAAATTTTAATAGGAATAGTTAATTAAAGGCTAAACATTAAATTATAGGAGGCTGAGTCAAAACAGTCACAATTTCAAGCCTAGCTTGGGCACCTTACTGACTTAGCAAGATCTGACTTCAAAATATAAAAATTTTTAAAAGGACTACAGGATATAACTCAGTGAAAGGCTCTCAGCTGAATCCCTAGTACAAAAACAAAAAGATTAGATTAGATCGAAATAGAAATAGATTTTGGACGTAAACCTAGCACTTGGAAGGCTGAAATAGGAAGAGAGATCACCTCAAATTCAAGACCAGCCTGAACTATGTAATGAGGCCCTATCTCAAAAATAAATAAATACAATAAAATAAATTATTTTAAGTAAAAGAAAAAAGCAGGGGGGACTTGAGACCTTTAGACAGGGGCATTGCAAGTTTGAAGCCCTGGCCAATGTAACAAAACCCTGTTTCAAAATAAAAATAAGTGAGTAAATAGAAAGGTCTGTGGATATAATTCCTTGGTAGAGTGCCCCTTAGTCAATCCCCAGTACTGCAGAAGAAAAAAAAAATGTATTTTGGAGAAATCAGGAGGAATTTAGAATTTTTGTTGTTATGTTTTGTTATTGAAGCAGAGTCTCACTTTGTAGCACAAACTGACTTTGAATTCAGGAGCCTCCTGCATCAGCCTCCTGAATGATAGGATTACAGATGTGCACCACCACATCTGGCTGAAATCAGTTTTGGGTACCCTTTTTAGAAAGTATACCATGAAAGTCGTGCTACTAGGATAACCTGTAGGCAGATTTTTCATAACAGAGAAATGGCAGGTGAGTTTTAGCTTAATGCGTACATGTGGGCAGATGTGATCTAACTGGTGATCCTGTTTGAATTGGAAGAGGTAGGTTCAGCTTGTGCACAGTAATTTTTCAACTGGTAGAATATAAAACTTGATTTTTCCCCCAAATTGATTATACATGTTTTGTGACCTTATGATAATCTGTTACCATTTTTGCTCTTAAATTTTTAAGTATAAAGTAGATTACATAAACAAATAATCTAAGCTGGGGAGATAGCTCAGTGGCATAAGCACCTGCCTTGGCGAGCGCAGCATCCTGAGTTCAACCCCCAATAAGAAAACAAAGCAAAAGAAACAGTCTAAGCTGGTGGCATATACCTGTGATTCCAGCAGTTTGGAAGTTTGAGGCAGGCGGATCACAAGTTCAAGTCCAGCCTGGGCAGGCTAGTAATTTAGGGAGACTCTGTCTCAAAATCAAAAGTCAAAAGGAAAAGTACAGTATAGCATATACATTTGATTTTATCCCAGAAACCAAGGAATAATAAGGTACTACTACTACTACTACTACTAATAATAATAATAAGGTAATAATAATAATAGCATAAAGAAGAGCTTGGTTGGTGGCCTGGCCTTAGCTCAGTTGTTTAAGTGGCTGCTTCCACAAAGCTGGCAGCCTCAGGTTGCTGCAGTTCGATCCCCACAACACTCCAGCCAGCCAAACCACCCCTGAGGGCATTCGGAGCAAAAAAAAAAAGAAGAGCTTGGTTTGTTTTTGTTTTGGTTTGTAGTTTTGAGTCATAGTCTCATTATGTAGCCCAACTTGGTCTCAAACTTGAGGCAATCCTGCCTCAGCTTCCCAGAGTGCTGGAATTACAGGTATGTGCTACCACACCAGCTAAATTTTTGAGGAGTCATTCAAGATATGTAACTTTTGGGATATAATTTTTATAATCTGTCATCAGTTCTGTTCTGTCTCTCGCTCTCTCTCGCTTTCTCTTTCTTTCTCTGCCTGTCTTTCTCCCCTTTTCCCTTGTACTAGGGATTGAACTCAGGGCCTTTGCACCGAGCTATATCCCTAACCCATTTTTTTTTTTTTTTAAATTTAATTTTATTTATTTATTTATTTTTGTGTGTGGCCAGCTCAGCCCACCAGGGGGCGGGGCTGGCTGGCATGTGGTGCTGGGGATTGAACCGCGGTCCCTGTGCTTTGCTAAGCTTGTTCTAAGTAGGTGCTTTAGACCACTGAGCCATCTCACCAGCCCCTCCCTAACCCATTTTATGTGTTTATTTTTGAGACGGGTTTCATTAAGTCCCTACATTTCCCAGGCCAGGCTCAAATTTGTGATCTTTGTGCCTCAGTCTCAGAGAGAGCTGGGATTATAGGCAAGTACTATTATGGTCAGCAATTCCGTATTTTGAAGGGTTTTTTTTTGTTGTTGTTGTTTTTGTTTTTTGGGTGTTTTGTTTTGTTTTGTTTTGTTTTTTTTGACTACTCTAAAAGCAACTCAGGATTGTTGTAAATCAATATTCAAAATAGTTGTATATGTCTAAGTTATCATCAGTACATGAATGTTGAAGTAAGACAGGGTCATTCCAAAATAAAAGTGTAATAGTCCGGGTTGCTGTTGTGTGCAATGCCTGTGAACCCGAAGCATAATGTGAGAGAAACTTGATGCATTGCATGCTCTGCAGCGTGTGTAGTTGGACACACCGCAGCGTTGGGTAACGAGGAAAGGAATTGTGCCATCGTGTACGCCACCTCTGGCGTATTGTCATCATCTCTTAAATACCTGTTTATCTATTTTGGGAATCAAACTCGTGATCTCATGCTTGCAGGCAGGCGCTGTGCCGCTGAGCTATATCTCTGGCCCTATTTATTTATTTTTGTTTTGTTTCTACACTTAATCTTAGCCAAAAGGCTGAGAAGCGCTTTTTGTTTTGTTTGTAAGTACCATTTTAACAGAATAGTAAACAAAGATAAAATCAGAATAATGAACTTGAGGATAGGTCATATGTGGCAGTGGAAAAGCAATGATAAATTCCTATAGTTTCAAATATTAATAGAACATGATCACACGTGAAAGATTGGTCTAATTCACAGGAGTACTAATTGACAAAGCAAGGACTAGCAGGTAGTAGCTGTAGGAATGAATGTGTCTGATTTTATTTGAGTGCTTTCTAACAAAGTGGCCCGCAAATGGAATGGACTGGCTTGTCAGCTAAGAAGCTTTCTCTGAGGATATTCAGGCAGACATAGGTACCCGTGTACCACACACTTTTTGGTTTGTGGGTTTGTTTGCTTGAGAATAGAACCCAGTGTCTTGTGTGTTTTTAGGCGAGTACTCTACCATTGAGCTATGTGCTTAGCCTACTTATTTGTGTGGTTGAGATTGAGCCTAGGGCTTTACACATGCCAACCATGCGCTTTACCACTGAACTACCACCAAAGTAAATGTTTTATTTTTAACTATAAAATAATGTAATTTTAGATGTATATAGATGGCATTTTTTTAGGAGTTGGATTAAGGCAGGGTCACACTATAGTTAATTTGGCATTGAACTCACTGTGTATCCCTAAACTGGCTTCACACTCAGCTATTCTGCTGCCTCAGCCTCCTGAGTGCTGGGATTATTGGCATGCACCACCACGCACCTGACTAGTGTTGATATGTATAATATATATCTGTAGATTTATATATGTATAGTTTTATATCCTATGCTATATAATTGTTTTTAACAATTTTGAGGTATGAATCAATATACTATATTATAATGTATTACATATAATACATTAATCTATAATATAGTGTGTATGGATAATGGTGGTGGGGTGGTGGGAGTTACACCCACAGCCTCACACGTGCTAGACAAGTGTTCTACCACTGAGCTTGTAAGCCCAGCCCATTTATATATTTTATTTTTATTATAAAGAATAATCAGGGGGCCGGGGAGATGGCTCAGTAGAATAAGTGCTTCCCTGGCAAGCGCAAGGGCCCGAGTTCAATCCCTGGTTCCACACACACACACACACACACACACACACAAAAGAATAATCAGAACCAGGCATGTTGGCATGCACCTGTAAACCCAGCACTCTTAAGAAGTTGAGATAGGAGTCTTGAAATTCTAGCCCATCTTGGGCAATGTAGCAACTTAAGAGACTGTCTCAAAATTTAAAAAAAAGGGGGGGGGGCTTAGGAGACAGCTCAGTGAAGGTCGTGGGTTCAGTTCCTGGTAGCTAATTAATTAATTAATTCTGGCCAGGTGCACAAGGTGGCACAGGCCTGTAATCCCAGCTACTCAGGAGACACTCTCAAAATAAAGTTAAAGAGGGGCCGGGGAGATGGCTCAGTGGAATAAGCGCTTCCCTAGCAAGCGCAAGGGTCTGAGTTCAATCCCTGGTTCCGCAAAAAAAAATAAATAAATAAAAAATAAAGTTAAAGAGAACGGGAGATGTGGCCAGCCATAAAGCTCTTGCCTAGCATGGTCAAGACCCAGGGTGGGGTCCCCCCTTCAAAACAAACTGAAGCTGATGTAGTTGTAATCGTGCCTCTTACTCATCACATAATGAGGAAGAAGGAAACATAGAACTGTGCCTGCTGGTGCATATCTAATCCTGAATGTTTGGGGAGCTGAAGTGGAAGATCGAAAATTGAGGCTGCCTGGGCGACACAGCAAGGCAGTATCTTTAAAAAAGCAGCTAGAAGTAGCAGCCGCAGAAGAACACATGAGCTTTAATACTAGGCACAGCTCAGTTTAAATCCAAGCTTGATAAAGCTTGGTGATTCACTAGCTCTGGTTGTCTTGCACATATAAATACCTGATAGCACATAATAGGTGTTCAGCCACTGTCGGTGCCCCTTATCTCTCTCTCATGATGTAAGATGAATTGATTTATTCAAGAATCTCTTTGTGCTTCCAGGTGAAAGGCAAATGTGAGTAAAATCATGCCCAGGTTGGTATGCAGCACATGAAACAACAGAAACAATAGCTTCAGGGAAATCTTAGCTAAGTGTGCTAGCTCGTACACAGCTGTATGCCTAGATACTGGGGAGGCTCAGGCAGGAGGATCATTCATTTTAAAACTCACTGGACAATATACTGAGATCTCAAGAAAAAAAGGTCATGTGATGCTGTATGCCTGTGGTCCCAATACTCAGGAAGTAAAATAAAAATTTTGGTGTATTTTTCCATAAAGAAAAAGAATATACTTTTAACTTCTGAAGTATGTATGAGCTAGTATACTGGATAAAAACTGCCTTCTCTTACCACTAGGTGGCGGAAATGACAATTATCGTAGTTGATTTTATAAAGATTTAGGTGACTGTATTTTAAAATAAAAATGTTTTAAAGTATTTTTATTTATTTATTGTATTATGATTAAACATATAATGTGTTAAATGTTGATTAACTTTGCTCTCATTTTTCAGTGCTAATGAAGGTACAGGACATTTTAAGGTACTTTGCTTTTATTTTTTACTTTATAAGAGGATCTTGTAGCATAATACAAATTTGATTTGATTCTGAGTTATAATAAAATGAAAGTTGTCTTCAATTAAGTGTAAAGAATATTTTACAAATAAATTATTTAACTATGAAGTACTTCAAACAATGATCTGTTATAATAGGGTTTTTTTGGTGGAACCAGGGATTGAACTCAGGCCCTTGCTCTTGCCAGGCAAGCACTTATTCTACTGAACTATCTCCCAGGCCCCATATAATAGTTTTTAAGAAGAATTATTAAATAGGTATTTTTGATTCAGAACAATAGTTTAAGGAAAAATTGAATAATAAGTTTTAAAACTCTAAAACCAAGGGCCGGCCAAATAGCTCAGCAAATTAAAGTGCCTGTAAGCAGGCGCAGGGCCTGGGGCTTTGATCACCCACGCCTGCCACGCAGGCCCCACTCTCCATGAGACTGGGCATCGTGGCACATGCCTGTAACCCCCACAGTTGGGAGGCTATAAGCAGCAGAATTACAAGGAGTCTGATCTAGTAGTGAGACCCTAAACACCCTGTAGACCCTTCGCTAAAATGCAAAAACAAAAAAACCTAAAACCAAATGCTATCCAATTTGTAGATTAAAAAAATGCAAACCTTTGCTTTGCATAGTTGGCATTTAAAGCTAAATGTGAGCTTAAAATTTTATTTACATGTAACATTTTGGCTCAAGTTAGTCTCCAATTTGCTAGTCATTTTTAGATTTTAGAGGTAAGAAGCTGAGAGTTACTGTAAGCGCTTCAGAATTCCAGATGCTGTTGTCTAGTGTTGCCATAATAGTGTGAGTCACCCAGGAAAAGAAAACTGCCAGGGAAGTGGGCTTCGTGGTGCTGGCTGTACCCAGCACTTGGGAGGCTGAGCTGTTAGCTCGTTCCAGGCCAGCCTGGGCTGTGTACTGAATTCAAGGCCAGCCTACTGTAGCCAAGACCCTGTCTCAAAAAAATGAAACTTCTTTAAAAGGGTAAAGTATGCCTTCTAGGTAACTTTGATCTGTCTTTCTAAAAGTGTATGCTAAAATTCAGGTGAGTTATTCCTTTTCAGTATCCGGGTTTTTGTGAATGTACTAGGTTAGAGACATGAGTTAAAGTACAGGAAAAGGCAACTACATCTTTGGATATGAAGTGTATTATAGATGTCTTACAGAGATCGGTGAGGTGCAGGGAATACAGCACTAAATCCTAACTTTTGCTGGGGGAGATGAAGTAGAGAGTGAATGTTAACTTAGTAGATTTCTTTTTAGAGTTATGAAGACATCCTGAAATTAGAAATGATGGCCGTACAACTTTGTAAATATACTAAAATCCATTAAATACACACTTTTTTGTATACTTCTTAAGGCGTAAATTTAATAGCATATGAACCACATCTCAATAAAGCTTTTTTTATTTTTATTTTTTAATGAGACAAACTCACTCACTGTGTAGTCCAGGCTGGCCTTAAGTTCACAGTGATCCTTCTGCCCCAAACTTCCAAGTGCTGGGATTGTGGGGTACACTACCTCTCAGTCTCAAACTTTTTTTAAAAAATTAAATCTAATAGAAATCTTGTTCTTCTCTTTGATCTGTCTGGCTTTCTAATAGGAATTTTGAATAGAACCATTGTTTATAATTTACTGAAATGTTGTGCGAATATTAAAGTGTTTCTGGCTGGTCGTGGTAGCACACGCATATAATCCCAGCCCACAGAAAGCTGCGTCAGGAGGACCACTGAGAGGTTTAAAACTGCACGGTAAGACACTGTCTCAAAAACAGCAACAACAAAAATGATGTTTAGGGCCGCACTGATAGCTCAGTGGACTAAATAAAGTGCCTGCTTAGGTAGAGTGCAGCGGCCAGGGGTTCAATCCCTGGCATGCTGTGCTGGCCCTGCCCCTGGGGCACGCTGAGATGGGGATTGAGACTGGGCTTGGTGGCTCGTGCCTGTAATACCAGCACTTGGGAGACTGAAAATAGGAGAATCATTACAAATCTGATCTACATAGTGAGACCCTGTAGACCCGGCACTAAATACAGAAAAAAAAAAAAAAGAAAAAGATGTTTAGGTGGGCACAATAACACACACCTGTACTCCAAGCACTTGCACTCTAGGAGGGTAAAGTAGGAGAACTGAGTCTGAACTATATAGTTTCTCAGCAAACCAACCAAACAACTAACTAAATAAATAGAATGTTAGAACAAAAAATTAAAATATGGATTTCCATAGGCAATTGTATTATATTAATGTTAAATTTCCTGAATACTTGTGCAGATTTCCTGATAATTGTATAATAGTTATGCAAGAGAAACAAATCCACTGATTTTCAGAAGACAGTTGCTAATATGTTTAAGGTAAAACATTTCAGTGTCTGCAGATAACTCATATTGTCCAAAATAAAAAGCACACATGTGCACATGGTTACAAAGGATGTAAAGCAAATCTGATAATATATCAAAAGTTGGTAAACTAAATGAAGGATATCAGGAGCACTTATATTATATAAATTATTCTTACAACTTTGTAGTAAGTTTGTGTTTCTCAAAGGTTAAAGCTGGGGAATGAAAAAGATTAACTTTATTTATTTTGTGGAACCAGAGTTTGACCTCAGGCCCTTGCGCTTGCCAGGCTAGTGCTTATTCTACTGAGCCATTTCCCCAGCCCCCCAACCATTTTTTATTATCAAAAAATCTAGGGCCAGCCAAATAGCTCAGCAGATTAAAGCACATGCAAGCAGGCACAGGGGCCAGGGGTTCAATCCCAAGCCTGCTGTACTGGCCCCACCCCCTGAGGAGCACTGACAAAGCAGTTAAAACTGGGCATGGTGGCACACACCTGTAATCTCAGCTCTTGGGAGGCTGTAAACGGGTAGATCACTATGAGTCCTATCTAGTAGTGAGACCCTGAACACGCTGTAGACCTTTTCCTAAAATTAAAAAAAAAAAAAAAATCTAGGGTTGGCTGGGGCCCAAGAGATAGCTCAGAGGCATAAGCACCTACCTGGCAAGCACAAGGACCCGAGTTCAATCCCCAGCCTCACATGCCATATGGTCTCGGCCCCACATACCCTGACACCCCCCTTGCAGCCATGGAACCAGGTGTGGTGGCACATTCTTGTAATCCTAGTACTTGGGGGGTTGAGCCAGGAGGATCTTAGTGAGTTTGAGACCAGCCTGGAGGCTACAAAAGTGAGCACAAGGCCAGCCCAAACTGTATAGTGAGACCCTGTCTCAAACAAACAATAAAACAAAAATCTAGAGTGGAGCACACTGGTATATATTTGTTATCTTAGCTAGTTGGGAGGCTGAGGCAGGAGGATTGCTTGAACTAGGAGTTCAGGACCAGCTTGGGCAATATAATGCAACCCTATCTCAAAATCTAGTTAGTGTTAAATACTTTTCTCAATTATAGTATGGTTTTTTTAAAAGAACACTTTTAATTCAAGATCTCAACAGGAAATAGATTTTGGGGGGATGTGGATGAGAAATTGAACCTGAGGATGTTACACTTGCTAGGTAGGCTCTTGTCCTGCTGCTCTATTATCCCCAGGATCTGGACAAAGTTTATGAAGTGTCTCATTTTTCCCCTTAGGATTTGTTGTTGCTAAAGCTGAGTCACTTGTTCTGTAGTTTCTGATGTTGAGTTTTCATGTTATGCCTCATATACTTTAACATATTCTTCTGTCTTTCTCATAAACCAGTAGTTAAGTGTGCGTATTGACTAGAGGCGCTTGCATTGGAGGGAGAAGAACCGTGTCCTGGGTGTGTCTCCATCCATCTTGAACAGCATGGACTCTGGGGTCTGCAGTGGTGGCAGCTGTCCCTGCTCGCTCTGCAAGTGCCCTGGTGTTCTAGGAGTTGAAACTGATGCTGCCTCTCTGGTCTTTTATTAGTTGGAATAGTCCTATGAGTTGGAGAAACTTTCTTTTGTCTGTTTGGTTGTTCATTGGTAGAGTTCACATAAGAAGAGGCAGGCAAAACGCTTGATTCTCGTTTTCCAGAGTCAAAAGGAATTACTTTACTGGCGTACTCCAGTCATGGCCAATTTTTTTGTTATGTTTACTTTATTATAAACTGGAGAATTTAAACATAACTGGTGTAACCCGTTTCAGTTACTACTCCTTTCTGTTGTGTATGGCAGGAAAGAGTGCTGTACTTAATTTCAGATACATTGGAATCTGGAATTTTCTCTTGTTTATTTGCCAACAGTAGGAAGCTATTAGGTACAGTGTGTAGTGGGGGCAAATTGTCTTCTGAAAAAGCTTCATGTGAATTAGACAAAGTCCTTTTTAACTCATGGCATGCGATACAAGATCTTTGGTTAATCGTTAGTTCCCAAATTTGAGTATTAGTATCCTTTTTTTTTCCCCTAGTACCAGCAATTGAACACAGGACCTTGCACTTGTCAGGCAAGTGGTATTCTACTGAGCTATCTCCCTGGCCCTAGATCAATTTTTATCTTTCAAATATTAGCTAGTTTCATAATTCTAGGAATTATAATATTGAATAATTTTAGTTTAGTTTAAAGCTGCAAAAGGTAATGCAGCTCAGTGGGAAGGTACTGGACTTAATCCTCAGTACCTCACATAGGGATGTGTGCACGTGTATACACACATGGAGAACTTCGGCATTTTTTTTGTCCAGATGATACCAGTGTCCCATGGTAACAACTGGCTTTTCTATAGAAGATAAAATCCTTCACATAAAGAGCAAAATGCTATAAGACATCTTAAAGACAACTGAGGGCCGACCAGATAGCTCAGCGGACTAAAGCACCTGCTTAGGCAGAGCACCTCAGCCAGGATTCAATCCCTGGCATGCCATGCTGGCCCTGCCCCCGGGGCGTGCTGAGACAGTGCTTGAGACTAGGCGTGGTGGCACGTGCGTGTAATCCCAGCGCTTGGGAGACTGAAAAGGAGGATCATTAGGAGTCCAATCTACATAGTGAGACCCCGTAGACCCTGTACCAAACACAAAATAAATTTAAAAAAATAAAGACAGCTGGCTCACAATACAGCAGTAATAAGTCATCAGCGCTTGCAGCGTGCCAGATAGTTAATTACATACATTAGCTTGTGCTCTCTAACTATGGGATACTTTTTTTCCCTGCTGTATAAATGGAGACACAAATAAAGGTTCGAGAACTTGTGCAAAGACCTGCACCTAGGGAATGGCAAAAGCAGGGTTTGAACCTGGAAAGTCTATCTCTGGAGCTCCTGCATTCGGGCCTCCGTTGTCTGTCAGGCTGTGGTTGCAGCGAGAGGGTCATCTGTCTGATTTACCGTTAGTTGTAGTCAGGAAGGGACTTCACCTAACTTGAGATAAGATTATTATGTGTTGGGGCCGGGGAGATAGCTCAGTAGAATAAGCACTTGCCTGGCATGTGCAGTCCTGAGTTCAATCCCTGGTACCACACACACAAAAAAAAGATTATTGTGTGAGCCAGTGGGTCTCTCACCTGCTTTGGTGCTCTAGTAGTCACTTCAGGCTGCTGCTCTGCTCGCTCTAGAAAAACACTTAGGCTGTTCCCTAAATTTACGCTAGTTGGTAATAGCCTTCATTTTCCCGATGAGAAAGAGGCTGGTTATGCATTAATTTCTACTTTAAAACTTATATTCCCTGTACTGCCACCTTTTATACTTCAAATTATTGTATCACACTGTAGCCACCCATGTCTAGATGTAATCCTTTTATTTAAAAGAAAGACCTTGGGGCTGGAGAGATGGCTCAGTGGTCTAAAGCACCTACTTGGAACAAGCTTGGCAAAGCACAGGGACCGCGGTTCGATCCTCCAGCACCACATGCCAGCCAGCCGCGCCCCCTGGTGGGCTGAGCTGGCCACACACACACACACACACACACACACACAATAAATAAATGTTAAAAAAATAAATAAATAAAAGAAAGACCTTTATTATGGTTTTGTTTTGTTTTGAGATGGGATCTTGCTCTATTGTACAGGATGGTCTTGAACTCTGTTCCTGGGTTCCAGTGGCCCTCCTGCCTTAGACTGTAACCTACCTGAGACCACAGGTACACTACTGTGTCCAGCTTATTGTGGAAATGAATGAATTAATTAAATTTGAAGAAGGCCAGTGAGATAGTTCAGCAGACTGAAGCGCCTGCTTAGGCAAGCTTAGGGAAGTGCAGGGCCCTCGCTTTGATCCCAGGCACCACATGCCCCACCAGCCCTGCCCCCAGGGTGAGCTGAGCCAGCCAGAGTCTAGGCGTAGTGGTGCACACCTGTAATCCCAGCACTGGGGAGGCTAAAAGCAGGAGGATCACCACAAGTCCGAGCTGTGTAGTGAGAGCCTAAAACAACCAAATGCATTAGGATTCTTTTTTGGGGGAGGGAGGGGGGCTGGTGCAGCATATGGTGCTTAGTATCGAACCAGGATCCCCTGAGCCTGACTGAATTTGCCCAAGCAGATGCTTTAAACAACTGAGCTAACTCACAAGCTCCCTAAATACATTAAGGGGAAAAAAAAAAAATGAAGAGTAGGAAACTTTATTGGAGAATAAGAATAGCTCCTGAGAGACAGGAAAGTCCTGAATGGATTGCCCTTATTATAGAAATTTAAAAGCTCACAGAAAAGTATAATAGTATAATGGGGGCTGGGGAGATAGCTCAGTGGTCCTAAGTGTCTGCCTGGCAAGCTCTAGGACTTGGGTTTGATCCCCTGTACCACACGCCATGCCAGCCACTGAAACCAGGCATGGTGGCACACACCTGTAATCCCAGTCCCAGTCCTGGGGAGGCTGAGACAGGAGAAACATTATGAGTCTGACCTATGTAGTGAGACCCGGTACCAAATAATAAATAAATATTAAAAGAAAATAGAAAGGTAGAGGGGACAGAAAACAGAACTTTTTAAAAATTTTTGAAAAAATAAAGATGAGAGAAATGTAAGATAAAGGATTCTACTAAAAAATAAAAATAAATTAGTAGAATTAGATAAAAGTAACAGAAAATAAGGAAAAAGAGGAAAAAAACCCAAACCACAAAGAATCAATGAAAAGAGTCCAGAAAGATTCTTCTGTTTTTGAATGAGTGGCTGCGTTCGAGGATCTGCGGTCTTGGCACCTAGTAGAGATAGCGAGTCACTGTTAAGATGTATTTTGTTTCTGTACTCACATACTTGTGTGTGAGCACTGAGCCCGGCCTGCCTTTCCCACTGAGCATGGTCTGTTGGTGGTGGTGGTCATCACCAGGCAGCTCCCACCGCTGTGTCCCTCTGTGCCCCCCCAGGCATGATTTCTGTCTGCCCGCCTTCATACCCAGTGGGTTTGTAAGGTACCTCTCTGCTCCAGAGCCACCCGTCCCATCTGTCCTAAACAGTAGCAGCTGCCCAAGTCAGATTATATCCTTGCTCCAGGTGGTAGACAGGGAAGAACAGTGACACTCCTGAGTTCTGTGCTGATATGGGGGGAGGGGTGCCGAGCAGTTTGCTGGACTTGGTGCCAGCACTTCAGATGGCTCTCTGAAAGCCACATGTGCCTTGCCTGGCGTCAGAGTGGGGCCCCAAGACCTTCCAACCTGAGCTGCTTTAGGGCATTTGTGTCCAGCCTGTGCCCTCTCCATAGCTGTCTCCTGTGGGCAGGTGACAACAGAAACTCTGGAGTATTGTGGTTCAGTCTTAGCATTACTCTCTTCCCAAAATGGGTCCCGATTAAACCCTCTAAGATACAGTGGGCACTGCCCTTGATTAACCCAGACTTGGTAGTAGTTTTTCTCTCAAGAGCCTTCGGCACACTTGCAATCCCAGTTTTCCAAGGCTAGCACAGGAGGAGTGTGCTGTGAGTTTGGAGCAGCAGCATGAGACCCTTCTCAAGCCAGTACAGAAGTGTGGAGTCCTGGGGATGTAGTTCAGTGTTAGAGTGCGTACTTGGCATGCAGGAGGCTCTGCATTGCATTCCAGCACAAGAAGAAAGCAAGGCCTATTGGATCGCCTTTGCGATAAAGTTTGTTTTAAGGATTATACATACTATGATATACATACATATAATCTGAAAATACTTTATTCATTTTTATAGCCTTTGGAAAAGAAGTTTGTCCGAGTTTCAGGAGAACCAACTATTGGGCATGTAGAAAAATTCCTCAGAAGAAAAATGGGTCTTGATCCAGCTTGTCAGGTACAGTACATGTATGTAAAAGGACAGGTAGTGAGATTACTTTTAGCATATTGAAGAAAGAACTGTCTTAGGATTTCATGCGGTGCCTTTTGTTTTATGATTGTATAGACAGTGTAAATGTCAATTGAATGTTGCTGCAGTGATTCTCTCTTCCAACTTTAGTCACACTGTCCATTTCTTATTGCCATTAATAAATATCTCGGTGTCAAGAGAAAAGCTCAAAAAACCTGCACAAGTGAAATGTCTATCTAATATAGGGCTTACCAGTTTTTTAAGGATTAAAAAGCATCTCTTTAGGCATGCAATATTTTTTTTGTTATTATAATATGGAAATTTTATGTGTTGTTAAACATTAAAACACAGCTGGGTGTGGTGGTGCACCCCTGTAATGCCAGCATTCAGGAGGCTGAAGCAGCAGGATCCCTGAGAGTTTGAGGCCAGCCTCAAGCTGGCTGTGATCCCAGCAGCCTGGGAGCTGAGACAGGAGGATCATAAGTTTAAACCCAGCCTAGGCAATTCAGTGACTTGGTGAGACTCTGTCTCACTACAAAAAATAAGAGCTGGGGATGTGGCTCAGAAAGAAGGCCCTGGGTTTAGTCCCTAAGAATATAGGGAGAAAAAAGATGATGAGCTGACCCCATTTTAAGGCAGTGGTGGGCCAGGGAGATAGCTGAGCTGCACAAGTTCCTGTCTGGCAAGCATAAATTCCTGAGTTGGATTCTCGGTACCAAAAAAAATTGTTTTAATTAAGGCAATGAGCCAGGTGTGGTGGCACACACCTGTAATCCCAGCACTCTGGAGGCTAAGGCAGGAGAATTATGAGTTTGAGACCAGGCTGGGTTACAAAGTTAGCACAGGCCAAAACTGCACAGGGAGACTGTCTCAAAATGACCAAAAAAAAAAAAAAAAAAAGGTAAGGATGTGCTCAATCACAGAGATTCAAGATTTGCATTTTGATCTCAGTAAATATACTGAAATCTTACTGCAATGTAGTATATAATTCTACAATATTCTTTTTAGAGGATTCTGTATAAACTAAGGTAGATCTTAGAGCTGTAACATCACTATTGGGCTGAAAAGATGGTGTTGAACTGCCAGGCGTGATGGTGCACTCTTGTAATCCCAGCACTTGGTGGCTGAGGTAAGAGGACAGCCACAAATTTGAGGTTCTGGCCTTGTGCTCACTTTGTAACCCATGAACTACACAGTGAGACCCCGTCTGAGAAAAAAACTCATGTTAAGATTGTTCTACTTACAAAAATCTTCTTAGGTTTGTTTTTTTTGTGTGTGTGTGTGTGGTGGAACTGGGGATTGAATTCTTAGTGTTTTAAGATATATGGTGTTTTTGGCAAAAGAATTCTATGTTAGAACTATTAAAAGAGCACCTTAATCATTAATACCATATAATTATTTTATCATGAAACTTTTAGAAAAAGTACTCTTGGGGCCAGGGAGATGGCTCAGTAGAATAAGCACTTGCCTGGCAAGTGCAAGGGTCTGAGTTCGTTCTCCAGTTCTACCCAAAAATAAATAAATAAATAAAAAGAAAAGAAAAAGTACTCCTGTGCCATTTTGAGCTAAATATCCTGGACATGATGTAATTTTTCCAGGATTCAAGGAATCATTTTGAGTATTATGTAGTGCTATGTTGTTCAGTGTTCTCCCCATCTTACGTTTTGGCTTTTTATAAAAATTTTCTAGGGCCAGGGATGTAGCTCAGCACTGCAGCACCTGCCCAGCAAGCATGAGGCCCAGAGTTCAATTCCTGGTACCAAAAAAGAAAATAGTAAAAAAAAACTTTCTAAAACCATCAGAGTGTTTAATAAGTCTAAAATAAAAGTACACAGTCTAGCCTGGAAGTAACCGTGGTGATTTTCCTTTCGTTTCGTTCTGGAGCAGGAAGGCAACCCAGCTCGCTCTCATTTCCTACAGGTGGACATCATCTGCGGCGATCACCTGCTGGAGCCGTACCAGACCCTGCGGGAGGTGCGGCGGGCGATAGGCGACGCGGCAATGCAGGTGGGCCTCGGGCTGATGGGCCCACCAGACAGACAAGGGAGGTAGTGACACGCAAGCTTCATCTTCTCAGTAGAGTTCTTGAAAATAACTTACAAATAGCTTGAAATTATCTGGACCACAAATAATAATTACAGCTAATATTTATTAAATGCTTACTAGATTTAGCTCCCTTTGGTGGTGGTGGTTGTTTTATTTCTTTTTAGTTTTTTGAGACAGGTTCTGTGTATGGCCAGGCTGACCTTGAACTTGAAATCCTCCTCCTGGGGCTGGGGAGATGGCTCAGTGGAATAAGCGCTTCCCTGGCAAGCACAAGGGCCTGAGTTCAATTCCAGGTTCCACACACAAAAAAATAAAGAAAAGAAAGAAATCTTCCTCCTTAGCCTTCCAAGGGATGGGGTTGTAGGTGTGTGTGTACCTGCATTCCAAGTTGGCAGCTACTGCTGCTTCTCATAATCATTTTTATTATTTATTTATTTTATTTTTGGCAGTGCTAGGAATCAAACTCATGCCCATGTATGAACTAGGAGATCCTGGGGGTTTTGGGTTTTTTTAATTTTTAATTTTTTTTTTCATTTTTAATCATTTGATATTCAAAATAAAAGTTTAACATCAAATTATTTTCACATTCATTTTTCAGAAAGGAAAAAAAATCACATGAGTTTATCAGTCATTTTGGATTTTTTTCTCTATCAGTAATTTTGAGGTATACTTTTCAAATATTTTATTTTGAAAAGGATACAAAATTGCAGCAGTATTCAGTAGAATTTTCAAAATGAGTCATTGTGTTCTACAAGAACTTCATTAAATTTTTCCTGTGGATAAGAATGCATTCATTATATCTGCCTCAAACTTTTCCAGGGAAAGAGTATTATGATTCATTGTGTGGAACATGAATATGCCCCCTATTTGTATATTACATCAAATTTATAATCATTTTTAAAAAGTAGACTCCTGGCCAAGCTTATGAGTACTCCCACAGCTACTTTGCACCAAAGGTGGCCTTCTAGTCAGCTCCGTGTCTATAATTAGGCCTCTTAACTTTCATAAAAGGACATTAGTCCTACTACCAATTCAACTATCTGTTAAACCATGTTTGTTCGTTTTTTTTTTAAAGATAGGGTCTCACAAAAAAAAAAAGAGAGAGAGAGAGAGACAGGGTCTCACCATGTAGCCCAGGCTAACCTCAAATTGGCGATGGTCCTGCCACGTGCCAACTGCTGGGATGAAAGGTATGTGCCTCCACATGCCACTAGAAGCTCCTGGCTTCAAGTGCCACTAGAAAGGAGCGTGGCAGAGTGGACCAGAGCAGGGAAAACAGGATGACCATGACACTTGTTGTCTTATTAGTAATAGTCTGTTTATTATAACATTTTCAAAATCAACCTAACATATGTTATAATTGAAATTTACCTACCTTGATTTCTTTTCCTTTTTTTAACTTGGAATCAAAGAATTCAGGACCTTTTGCTTGACAGGCAGGAGCTTTGCCTCCAAGCTATACCCCTGACCATGGTTTCTTTTTTTAAATTACTATTTCCTTCTAATTATTTTAAAATAATTAAAAAGGTTATGAAGGTGTGAAGATAATACTATTAAGCTAACCAAATCAACTCACTAAAATTTTTTAAATAATTTATCTTTAAAAATCAACAGCTGGGGCTGGGGAGATAGCTCAGTAGAATAAGCACTTGCCTGGCAAGTGCAAGAGCCTGAGTTCAATCCCCAGTTCCACCAAAAAAAAAAAAAAAATCAACAGCCAGGCACAATTGTGCACACCTGTCATCTCAGCTACCTGGGAGACTGGAGGAGGAAGATTGCAAGTCCAACACTAGCCTGGGTAACTTAGCAAGATCCTTTTCAGAATAAATAAAAACAGCTAGGGATGTAGCTCTGTGGAAGAGTGCTGTTGGGTTCAGTTTACAATATCATAAAGTATGTGTGTTTCAGTTTCCCACTAAATTTGACTTTTGTTTTATTTACTTTGAGATGGAATCTTAATATGTTGCCAGGCTAGTTTCATACTTCATTTTGGCCTCCTGACTGCCAGCACTACAAGGGTATGACACTAAGCTGGGCATGGTGGTGCATGCCTGTAATCTCAGCACTCCAAAGGCTGAGGCAGGAGAATTGTTGGGAGTTTGAGATAAGCCTGGGCTACAGAGTGAGCTCAAAGCCAGCCTGAACTATAGGGAGACCCTGTCTCAAAAAAGAGAAAAAACAAAAAATCCACCAAGTGTGTGCCCAAGTCCACCCACCTTTTTCTGGTTTTAGGAGCTTTTTTTTTTTTTTTTTTTGAGAGAGAGAGAGAGACAGAGAGAGAATGAGTGTGTGTGGTGTGTGTGGCCAGCTCCGCCCACCAGGGGGTGGTGCTGGTTGGCATGCGGTGCTGGGGGATTGAACCGCGGTCCCTGATGCTTTGCTAAGCTTGTTCTAAGTAGGTGCTCTAGACCACTGAGCCATCTCTCCAGCCCCTTTAGGAGCTTTTTGAGACTGACAGAAAAGTTATAAAAATAGTCCTGGGGCCATGGATATAGCTTGGTAGAGTAAGTGCTTGCCTGGCAAGTGCGGGGTCCTGAGTCCAGTCGCTGGTACTGCAAAAAAAAAAAATAGTGCTAAAAGGCCCTCTGTGGCTGTCAGCCAGCGTTCTCTAGGGTTAATGTCTTAGGTAGCCGTAGTCAAGGTACACCCTTGCTCCAGATGTGGATACTGTTAAAAAGAGAGCTGGTCATGCCTGTAATCCCTGGTCAGAGCACATCCTGTACTCCCAGTACTCTGGGAGGCTGAGGCAAAGGGACCACAAATTTAAACTCAGTCTGGGAACTTAACAAGACTGTCTCAAAATAAATAACACGGTAGCACATGCCTGTAATCCCACACTTGTGAGCTGAGGCAGGAGGATCACTTCAACTTTCAATCCATTCTGGACTACATAGTGAGTTCAGGCAAGCCTGAACTACATAAAGGACCCTGTCTCCCCCTCCCAAAAAAAATTATATACTATAAAAGTTGGGAATATAGCTCAGCAGCACAGCACCTGCCTAGCAGACACAAAGTCCTGAGTTCAATTTCTGGTACATGAGTTGATTATGGATTCAACCATCCATGGACTGTGAGCTAAATAAACCTTTCCTTCTTTTTTTTTTTTTTTTTTTTTTGAACCAGGGATTGAACTCAGGCCCTCGCGCTTGCCAGAGAAGTGCTTATTCCACTGAGCCATCCCCCCGGCCCCAAACCTTTCCTTCTAACAAAACTTTCCTAGCTAGTTAAAGAATATTTCATGAAATAAGCAGAATAGTCAGTCCTTGAGGCGTCGGTGCTGTGTGGTAGAGGTATTTCGTTGCTTGTCGGCCTGTGTGCGCGTGCACGGACATGGCCTCAAACGACTATACTCAACAAGCAATCCAAAGCTGTGGGGCCTTCCCCACCCAGCCTGGGCAGGGCTACTCCCAGCAGAGCACTCAGCCCTATGGACAGCAGAGTTACAGTGGCTATGGCCAGTCAGCAGACACTTCAAGCTATGGCCAGAGCAGCTATGGTGGTTCTTATGGACAGACTCAGAACACAGGTTATGGCACACAGTCAGCTCCCCAGGGTTATGGCTCCGCTGGTGGCTATGGCAGTAGCCAGGGTTCCCAGTCATCTTACGGTCAGCAGTCCTCTTATCCTGGCTGTGGTCAGCAGCCAGCTCCCGGCAGCACCTCGGGAAGTTATGGTGGTAGTTCTCAGAGCAGCAGCTATGGGCAGCCCCAGAGTGGGGGCTCTGGCCAACAGTCTGGCTATGGTGGACAGCAGCAGAGCTACGGACAGCAGCAAAGCTCCTACAATCCCCCTCAGGGCTACGGACAGCAGAGCCAGTACAACAGCAGCAGTGGCGGTGGAGCGGGTGGCGGAGGCAATTACGGCCAAGATCAGTCCTCCATGAGCGGTGGCGGTGGTGGCTATGGCAATCAGGACCAGAGTGGTGGTGGCGGTGGCGGCTACGGGGAGGCCAGCAGGACGGTGGGGGCCGAGGCAGGGGTGGTGGCGGTGGTTACGACTGCAGCAGTGGTGGCTATGAACCCAGAGGTCGTGGAGGTGGCCGTGGAGGCAGAGGCGGCATGGGCGGAAGTGACCGAGGTGGCTTCAATAAATTTGGTGGCCCTCGGGACCAAGGATCACATCATGATTCTGCAGAACAGGATAATTCTGACAACAACACCATCTTTGTGCAAGGCCTGGGTGAGAATGTTACCATTGAGTCTGTAGCTAATTACTTCAAGCAGATTGGCATTATTAAGACCAATAAGAAAACCGGACAACCCATGATTAATTTGTCCACAGACAGGGAAACTGGCAAGTTGAAGGGAGAAGCGACAGTTTCATTTGATGACCCTCCTTCTGCTAAAGCAGCTATTGACTGGTTTGATGGTAAAGAATTCTCTGGGAACGCTATTAAGGTCTTGTTTGCTACCCAGCGAGCAGATTTCAGTTGGGGTGGTGGCAATGGCCGAGGAGGCCGAGGAAGAGGAGGACCCATGGGCCGTGGAGGTTATGGAGGTGGTGGCAGTGGTGGTGGCGGCCGGGGAGGATTCCCCAGTGGAGGTGGTGGTGGTGGAGGACAGCAGCGAGCTGGGGACTGGAAGTGTCCTAATCCTACGTGTGAGAACATGAACTTCTCTTGGAGAAATGAATGCAACCAGTGTAAGGCCCCTAAACCAGATGGCCCAGGAGGAGGTCCAGGAGGCTCCCATATGGGGGTAACTACAGAGATGTTCGTCGTGGTGGCAGAGGAGGCTACGATCAGGGTGGCTACCGAGGCCGTGGAGGGGATCGTGGGGGCTTCCGAGGGGGCCGGGGTGGTGGGGACAGAGGAGGCTTTGGCCCTGGCAAGATGGCTTCCAGGGGTGAGCACAGACAGGATCGCAGGGAGAGGCCGTATTAGTCTGGTTCTGAGATTCTGGAGCAACTTTGCCCCCTGTACCCAGTGTTACCCTCATTATTTTGTAACCTTCCAACTCCTG